TAATTTAACTCAATACATCATAATGTATTTCAAATTCAATTCAATAAAAATTAGATTTAACCTAATTCATTTCTAAATTTAAATAATTAAATTAAATTAAATCAATGTTTAATTTTATTTTGAGAATTTATATTTAATTTTATATTTAAAAATTTTTAATTAATTATACTTAAAATTTTAAAACTTTATTTATTATATGTAAATATTAATTAATTATATTTAAAAACAAAATTTACTTTTTAATATATATTAGCGAAAAATGAGGATCACCATAGGATATCCATCACCCGCAAGCAATGGAGATAAAGGACAAAATCTTTCCCTTGTCAAAAATTTCCGGGAACATTCCTATCGCCGCCATTCACGAACTCAGCCCCGTAGGGCCCTACTGTCACCCCTACCCCCACGGTACCTGTTGAGACTTTTTTTATTTTTTTGGTGGAAACCTGTTGAGACTTCACTTGAGGTGAAATAAGTTTAAGTCTCCTTCGAATGAGGGCAGAGCGACAGAGAGATGTTGAAATTTTGATTTTTGGAGTTGCCAGCGACGACTGACTATTATTGACAGTAATTGTACTATAGTATGATTCACACCAAAATAATAATAATAATAAAATCATATAAATTATATTTAATTTAAATAATATTTTATATTTAAAAATATCAATTTTTAAATTAATTTTAATTTATAAAATAATAAATATTAATTATCAATTGTTTTTAATAACTAAATTAAACAAAATTAATAGTTTTTTTATCTTGATTACATAATGGAATATAATCATTTTTCATCCCTTATTCTATTGATTCGAATTCATAATCTCTTATTTTCAGTAGGGAAAAATAATCACTGAATTATTTTGATCATTAACAGCAAAATTAGTATTTTTAAATATAAAAATATTATTATTAAAATATCATATAACATTATAAATATATAATATGATGTGTTATTATATAATTAATTTTTTTATTTATAAATGTACTTATAATATCATATACATTTACTTATTTTATATTATATTTTATTAAATATTATATAAAATTTTAAATCTATAATTTTATATAATATTATAATTATAACATTTCCGTTTTAGATATAACATTCCATGACTTTTAACAACTTTAAGCGGCACCATAATGATACCAAATTGTTAGGTGTGAATATGGCGACTTTCTTAACTAATTCACTTCATGTAGCGGTCTTAGCAAGGTTTCTAGATGAGCATCCCAAATTTTACATTTTTCTGGTCTTAATGCAATGCCAATCCTCACTAACACAAAAGAAATTAATAAAAAAATTTATCTAAATTATGTTAATTCATTATTGCAACATACACTACGTACCCTGTAGAGAAGATATGAAATTATGTAAATTTTAAAAAATGACTAGGATAAAAGTTTGAGGTAAAAATGTAAAATTGGCAATAGTTGTGGAAAAGAAAGAAGTAATGAATTTCTGCGGTCAAGATTAGTTAGTCAAAATTAAAGACATGATGCCATCAATATATGTACCGTATGGAAATATATTAATTATTTTCTATATAAGATAAGTAAGTTTTAAACTCCAAATCTTAAATCATTGATTTTAAGAAGTTTTAAACTTATTTCATTGTACTCGTATTTTCAAATTCAAATTATTCATCATCAAATTATAAAATATTTAAATTAATTGATCGAAGTTTCAAATCTTATTAATATATTAAATTTTTTTAATCTCTCAAATTGCGTACTGTTTAAAAAAAATTATATCATTAAAAATCGGCTCATTTTTAATTGTACGTGAATAAAAAAATTTCCACCATTTAGCGCGGGGTTGGGGTTGGCATGTGCAACACGAAAATGTTAATTTAATATATATATGGAAAAAAAAAGTATATTAATTTTATTTTTTTTTAATTAAAGTTTTTATATCAAATTAGTGATTTTATTTAATTAAAATTTAATTTAAAATTTAACAATTTTATTTTATTAAATATTAATATTTAAATTTAAAAATTAATTAAAATTTTAATTTAAAAAAATCAAAATTAATAAACACTAATTATATATATCTATTTATTTTTAGGTACATACATATCTATATTTATTTATTGGTGAACTAACTTTTTTTTTTTTTTAGGTAAAAATTGGTGAACTAACTTGCATTCCAATTTTGTTTTCTTAATATATTTCCATATGGTACAGATATTGATGGTATTGTCTCTTTGGTTTTGACTAACCAATCTTGACCGGCAGAAACTCATTAATTACCTCTTTCTTTGTCAACCATTATTGCTAATTTTACTTCAAACTTATACTAGTCATTTACATTTTTTTTTTAAATACATATTCCTCGTAACACTTACGCTACTTTTAAATTGAAAGAAAAAAAAAAAAAGAGAGGGAAATTTTTTATTTAATTATAAAAACATTAAAGGAGAGGAAAAATAAAATTTTCTTTTATTTTATTTTTAAATTTTAATTATTTATTCAAATAAAAAAATAAAAAAGTATAAATTTTTTCTCCCCTTTTTCTTTCGTTATATTTTCTTTAATCTAAATATAGACTTAATAAAGTAAAAAATTATCAACATAAACTTATAACTAGGCCCCAAATCTGCACTACCACACATAGTTCGTCCATATTTACCCTTATGGTAATTATTACTCCTTTAACTCAAATTTAATTATCTAAATATATATGACCCAAAGGTTTAACCAGTTTTTTTTTTTTTTTGCAGATATTCTTATTTAATTTAATTTATTTGTAATTTCAATATATATTAACAAACACAGATGCGTAGGGTCCACTTACATTCATGAGGAAAAGAAAAATCAAAACACTTGCATTTTTTCTCTCAACATTTTAAAGGTAAAGGACTAGTTGATAATGATAGAAATGTCAAATGGTATGAGTGGCCATCTTTTTGTTAAAATAGAAAATGAAAATACTGCAACTAATAGTAAACTTATAAATCCGAACACTAAATTTTATTATTTTTCATATGAAAGAAAGTCAACTAAAATGATGTAGCTTCACAGGGCATTACAAAATTAAATTGTAATATATTCTTTTTACATAAATTGTAATATTATTTTTTGATTTACGGGCATCATATTTACTAAGCTACTTTGGAAAAATATATGGTATCACATACTTTAATTTCCTTGCTATTAATTATGTTTTAAACTCACTTTAGATCTTCTCGTTCCAAAATAGTAGAACATAAAAGCCTGTCCACAAAGTTTAAGTCTTCTTTTCTTTTTGGATGGCCGCCTAAAGCTTTAGAATAACTGCAAAAAAGTGTGTTCTTCTGCTTTTTATCCTCAGAAAATTAAGAGGTCAACGGCAAGGAAAGTCTCTAAAGTAACTGGTAGGGCATCAAATGAAAGTAAAACACGTGGTGGGAGTTTAGACCTAAGTGGAAGCGGACATATAGAGAGTAGGTAGGTTGATGCTACGATCCTACCATTGAAATTTTCAAATTTAAATTTATATATTTATTTTTGAATATTATCATAAATAGATGGAATTTTATATAAAATTATTTTTGTTATTAATATTACCTTTTTTTTAATCATGGTTTTAACTATTTAATGAGTTTTTTTAAATAGATTCAACGCTTATTTATTTAAAATTTTAGTAAGATTTATTTAGGTTTATTAG